GAGCAGGGAGCCCGATGCGGGGCTCGATCCCAGGACCCTGCGATCATGACCTGAGCCGAAGGCAGACGCTTAACGACTGAGCCACCCAGGCGCCCCTATGTTTATCCTCTTAGAAGTTGTATTTTACACTGTAAATTAATAGATTGGCATTTTAGTGTCATGTGTCAGTCTTGCACATTTGAGATAAGCATTCTACTGAAGGGTAAACTCATTTTTGGTGGGTTAATCCATCAGATTTCTAAGCCTAGAAAGGTAAAATCCAGATGGTGACAAATTCAGAGGCAATATAATACTGCACAGACCTGACTGGGTGACCATTTGGCCTTGCAGGTGACACCCTGATGTCACTGGCACAATTTATTCATATTTCTATAGAATGGAAATCAGAGTAATCAGTGCAACAATCCACGTAAGAGATGAAGGAATAGAATTAGAGCAATGGCCTTAGGCAGGCTGAGAAATTTTTTTAAAGATTTTATTTATTTACTTTTAGAGAGAGAGCAGGGAAGGGCAGAGCGAGAATCTCGAGCAGACTCTGTGCTGAGCGTGGAGCCCAACATGGGGCTCAATCTCATGACCTGAGCCGAGATCAAGAACAGGACGATGAACCTACTGAGCCACCCAGGGACCCCTAGGCAGAGAATTTACAACGGATTTCAAGTGGAGACGTGAGGGAGGCAGGAGGTTTCTCAATGGGTGATAAAAGGGAAGGCAACACCACTAAGAGAGAAAAAAAGGAAGGGGAGGTCCAAGTTGGGAAAAAGAGAACATGTTGCATTTAAGGTGTTAGCAGAAAAGTCATATGGAAATATCTAAAAGCAGTTGAAAATATGGCTCTGAAAGAGACTGTGTAAGTATTTCCATTTCTTGATAATGAGATCAAGTTTTGTTAACAGATAAAATCACCTGTATAGGTAGTACTAAAGGAGAAAAAGAAGTCTAGAACAGAATGTTGGGTTAAGTCCTTAAGGGTTCAATCAATACCATAAAACACAAAACCAAAATGAAATGAGGAATGCCAGGTCAGCTTGTACACAGATGCTTTATTATGGATGTTAATAGTCAACATTGTATGCAAGATTCTCTTAACAATGGAAAGTTTTCCCATACATCAAAAGACTCCATTTATTTGTCAGGGTAATTGCTGTATTAATGTGAAAACCTTACAACAAAATGCAGTATTATATATGTGTAGTCAGTTTCCATGCAAGTATGGCTGCTACATGTATGTCTGGCATTTTTATAACATACTGAAAGAAATTCAAATGAACACAACAGTATAAAGGTGACCTAAGATGCCTGACATGTTTAAAATTAAAAATCTTCTTGCAAAAAGCAACAAAGCAGTTAACTAAAGGATTCAACCAATACCAACCCAAATATGTACTATGTCCAATAAGCCCAGGCTTATCTGCAATATATTACACTTGGGATAATTTAATGCTCAAGAAAAATTATGCTTTAAAAAAATATAGCTCTTCCAAGATATACTTTGGTGACTGGAAACTATGTACATCCAAACCAGCTAAGGGCTATGGGCTACATTAAAACAAACAAACAAACAAAAACCATTATGTGCTATTAGTTCAAAGTAACTGAAATTGAAATGATCCAGTATGATTTTGCTACAATCATTGGTTTTATAAAGTGATATTTCTGTGAGAAGTTCACTAATTAGGAAGCAATCAACAGACTTAACAAAGATGCTAAGAAGATTCAAATTGGTCATCTATTTGTTATCAACGAGGCATAATCTTGGTACCATACATTTTCTTCACTTCTCACTACATATAATATGCAAAAATGAGCAAGTGGATTTAAATAGCTTAAAACCCTCTTAGGTCTACTGTTCAAGAGCTAGGCGTTAAAATACTTAGTATTACCATTTCTACTAACATAAAAACATCAGAAAATCTTAAGCTGTCTTTGTTTTAAGGCATAGTATTTTGGCATTTGCAAGAATTTGCCTGGTAATGGTTGATTCCATTAAGTTAACTTGAGAACTTGCCATCATTTGCTTTTTACCTTTTCACACAGTGCAAGTGGTGGTGGCTCTTTCCGTCTCTCATAGCAGCAAGCCGATTCTGCTATTTTCTATAGCAGCATACTTCAGGAGTGGAGAGGGAGAGAGTGTGTCAATTATAAATAATTACAACTACAGTGTACAATTCTATTTGCCTGTCAGTGTTTAAGTTGACAGCACACCATTATATGTCTCAAAAGAAAGTACATAAAATCTCTACACAAAAGCAAATAAAGACATTCTTTCAAAAAGAAATAAGTGCAAACACCTAAAACAGGCAACTGAAGCAACTGTTGTAACCTGTAGAGAAACACAAACATTTATAAAAGGACAAAATATTTTTATAAATAAAAGATAATGTTCTCTACTTCTGAAACACTGAGTAAATATAATAAACTTCTAAGTGCAAAAAAAAAAAAAAAAGAATAAAAAAAAAATATGACCTACATCAAAAAAAAAAAAAAAAAAAACTTCTAAGTGCAGACTGTTTTTAGGGACCAAAGTACCATATTATTTGTTTAAACAAAATGCAAAAATTTCAAACACATATACAAATCACCAGATTAATTTATATGACCCCCCCATATAATTTAAAAAGAAAATATTAAATTATTATTTAGTACATTTTTAGAACTACTTTATAACCAACATGATTTAAAGGGCATAGTGCAATATTTAGGTAGATGTGACATACAGTATAGCTACTGTATTCTTTGCAGCCATTACTTACTACTGTTTCATATTTCATACTTAAAACATCAAAATTGTTCTTTATGTTAGCTGTAAATAACAGGAAACAACACTGGCTTCTAGACACCCTGTATAGGTATAAATATCTACATTTAAGCTTTCAAAATGAAAATAAATTATAAAAAGACTTCTTTCCAATTTACAAAGTCTTCTTGCTCCTACATACTGTACAATACATTCAACAAAACTCTCAGCTCTTCTGAGATTTATGAAGAAAATACTGACTCTTTACTAATAAGGAAAAAAACCTTTTTCAATGCTTCTTGTTTTTAGTACTATGCTCAAATAAATACATTTAACACTGTAGTTAATTTTATTGTTTTTGAAAAATACCAAAAATTAGTAGTGCAACTTTCTCTCCTTCTTTTCAATTTCTTCCCACTGTATTTCTTTGTAAATGGTAGCCCAAGTAGGCTAAAGTACTTCATAAAACCATGTGTGCTTCCCATACATAGACTAATTACAGAAACCATACATACTCCTAAACCTATCTGTAACAAAACTGCAGCATCAAGAGAGTAGCAACATACATCTTCTGGAGAAAATACGTGAAAACTTACTTTTAGGATATCCATAACATTCTAATATGGTTTTCCCATCTTGTTCTTTTAAAAACAATTTTTTAAAATCTCATCTCTTAAAAAAATTAACTATGAAATTACCGACCCCTTACTTAAGTGGCTGGGCTTCCTGCCCGTCCAATATGAAAAAAGATGTAAACCGTTTTAGGGCTGTATTAAAACTTTAAAAACAATTAATTGACAAAAATTTCATTGCAACCTAATTTAGTATAGAATACAGTAAGAATGGGGCATTTCATCCATTTTAATAACAATTACAGTATGAGAGCTCTTGAAGTGCTGCTGGTAGCTGTGTAAGTGCTCAAATATCTTCTTGCTTGTTCAGTCATGATAAGTTGGTCTTCCGTCTTCCCATAAACCACTGTTTCCCATTCACAATTTGACTATGAAGGAAACATTAATAGTGATGTGAAGATTACTAAAATAACTATCCACTCCACTTTACAACTGATTACGCTTTTAAAAGTCAATTATTTCAACCAACTGGATATTTAATGATAATCACTGTAAACATGTTTTGATAATGGCACTGTGATTCTTTTTATTAAACAATGTTTTAAAAATACATACTGAAATATTTATGGTCAATTTTTTTAAGTCCATCTTTTTCTTTATTTCTTATTTTAATTAAATAATTTTTATTTTTAAAAAGTCCATCTTTTTTAACTATCTACATTGTTCATAGACCTGTGGAGGCAGTTGAAAAGTTTTCTACCCACAACCCCCCCAATTCAAATCAGTCTTAACACAGAAAGAAATGTCAGTCTTTATTGCTTCAAAATTTTGCAAAAGATTTAAAGAGAGGATGTAATGTCAAAAAATGAGCCGAGAATGCTTTATGTTTTGCAAATTAGGAAATATATCCATAATACAAGGTCAAGTTTGTGTTTGCTTCATTGGTTTTCTTCCTTTATTATAAAGATTACTACATTACAGGTATGACCTGCTATGTAATATATTTTCCTGAAAAGTTCTGTGTTGAACACTGGGAAATCAAACCATTTAAAATGGACTAAGAGAATGTGCTACATGGCTCTTTGAAGGGCAGCAGCTAAAGACAGAGATGAGGTGGCCACATCTGATTGCTAAAGATGTTTTCAAGGACTGCTTAAATGTCAGGAATGCTAGTGCTGCAGTCACTGTGGTATAAAGAAGAGAACTTCTTCCTCAATGAACTCTCAAACTAGTTGGGTTGAATTCTTAAGATAATGTAGTAAAAAATTTTCCAGGCTTCATTTACTGCGACATAATGGCTGCACAGCAACAGAAAAAAGAATTTTGTTTTACAACTTCTGAGCCAAAAAGTTCACTGGAAACAATCATACCAACAAAATCAAGCTGAAACTGCTTCCAACCACTTACCCTTTCAAGATAGCAATTAGGGCTACACATATTTGTTACAGAAGAGAAGGAGACTTAGATATCTTCAGTTTAAAAATGAAATTGTGCTTAAGAAATCACCAGAAGAGACTCTGGCTACAACTTCAATTGTTTAATTTATATGTGCCCTGATGAATGAGTCTCTCAAAAACCAAATCTAGTTTGAGTGACAAAATAATGATGAATGTTTAGTTACTGTTATAGTCAGTTTTGAATCTAAAAAGAAAAGGTATAATTTGTGATCAGTAAGTCCAAAGTGATAACTGAATAAACAACAACAAAAATCACTAAAAGAAACTTATAAATTCATACCTGAAGGTTCTTTTCCAATGTGACAACTTTAGAAGTGTTAGGGTTTGGTTTCTTTTTATTAAGTGTATATGTTTTGTTGGTTGAATTTATAATATCTTGTTTTTCAGGAGTCAAGTTGCACCTATTGTCATGTATTTCCAATAATGGTATCATTAATAAAGATGTTGTAAATATATTTTCTGACTAAGAGAGAAAAAAGAAAGAGGAAAATAACTAATTCAAAAATGGAGACAAATGGAGGGACTACTGAGTAAGTGGTGGTGGAAGCCCTGTTCATTTCCCTCCAAGAAAGCTTTTGGCTCCAAGGAAATTTCTAGTAATGTAGTAAAATTAAATATTTCAGAAATTAACCAAAGATAAACACTGAAATTTAAAGTTTTGAGAACTACCATTTTTTGACATCATACATAAGAGAGCGAACTCCTCTCAAAACAAAACAAATATAAAAAGCAAGGAAGTAAATATTCTCTACAGTTAACAGTTTCTTTCTGAAGTAAGCAAAATAAATACTAAAGGAAACTCTCTATGAATCTCTAATGAACTAACCACACAATGAGTAAGAAACAAGAACCAGCAGGACTTAAATCAACCATCTTAACAACAACAAAAAAATTCTTTACCAACCTGCATGTCTGAAATGTCTTCAGTCAATAGTTGAGTACCTGGTTCTTCTTTTTCCCAATTATCTAAGACTAGTGATTTTCTGACTTTCTTTACGGAAGCTGTATGCTAGAATGAATAATTTACAATAGAAACATTACGGTAAAGTCACTTTTATTTTTAAAATAAAGACTTTTATTAAAAATAATACTAAAAGATTACCTCCTGTTTGCAGCTTTTGTAAGCAGGTTCATCTTCCTCTTTGAGGAATATATCTGTTCCAGTTTCTTCTTTTAAAACTTCCCGAATATCTTCTTCCAAGAAGGCAAGTGGCTGTGACTAAATTGTTTTTAAAAGGGTTATTAAAGAGTCTTTTATAGCAATTTCCTTTTTCCCCATATACAGAAACCCATCTTTTATACTTTTTCATTACTGGCATAATTTTCTCCCAGTCCCTGTAGATACCTAAGTTGAATGAATTAACTAATACTTTTATGGCAAAAATAATACTGCACATTGCAAGCGCTGAATGAAGTGTGGCACTTTGTTCACTCCAGGCTTCACTCTAGCCTTCCTCCTTCTGGGGAACCTACTGTAGCTCCCACGTCAATCAGGAGCCTCAGAATTAAACAGGTAAGAGATTATTTCCCAAATATATATATATATTTTAAAAGATTTTATTAATTTGACAGAGAGAGA